ATGAAATATATCAATAATTAAACTTCTTTTACAAACAAGTACTCCCTCGGGGCATTTGGTTAGGGATACAGTATTTTATGTAGCATAGATGAGTAAGATATTAATAATAAGTTATGATATTATTTTATTATTTTTTATATGAGTAGTGTTGTTAGTATTTTAAATATTTTAAATATTATATCCCAATTAAATATATACAATATGAATATCATTTTGTAGATAATAAAATATTATAGTATACAAATAAGTAAAAAAATATATTTATTTATTTATGATTAACTTGAAACTAATTTTATAAAAAATGAGGAGTTTAAAAAATATAGATAAAAATATATATGTATTTGAGAAGATATAGAAATAAAGGAGTTGTGTAACATATTAGAAATTTAATTTAATTAATTAATTTTTGTTAGTTACGTTTAATATGAATAAATTTACTAAAAAAATAAAAAAAGATCATCTTCTATGGGACGAATGAAAAAAGAAAAATAAGTTATCTGTGTTGAGACGAAAAGGGTATTTACAAATACAATAGACATATTTAAAATTAAATAAAAAAATTATAATTTATCAAACCAAAATTTTGTCATGTTCTCAATCAAATATGAGTTAATGTGTTTTTCAATCTTGAAGTTGGTATTCTATTTCAGAGGAATTAAATTATTTCAGCACTCGTACGGGTAGAATATGACTGACTTAAGTTGTTAATATTATTTACAAAATTAGAAACAAATTTACCTTGTTAATCGAAGAACAAAGAATCTGGAATAGAATGGGATTTGAATAAAACCAAAGAAGATGAAACAGATCACCCCTAGAACGTCGATTTTGGACTGAAGGAGAAGATAAAAGGATAATGGGTCTTAATCGTGTTTTAGGCGAGAATCTCATCTTATTATCAAATCTAATTTGGGTAGGTTGATTTGGGCGGGTCAAATCAAATTTGGGTAGAGTCAGGCCAGGAACCCAAAAAACATAACAAACTTATAGCATTAGAATATAAAATATTTTTCATGTATATATATATATTTCATATAAATCACATGTAAAAAGGCTATCTTTACATCTAATTATTTAAATTAATTTTTAATTAAAATAAGCAACTAAAGCAAACATGAATCGAATAATAGATTATTTAACGACAAGTGCAAAAATATCATTGTAATCTATCGAGTATACTCTCTAGCAACTAATTTTGCCTTATATCAAACTTTATTTTCTTCTTGGTTGACTTTATATATCCACTGTCATTCTGTCAATATACTATAGTAAAGTAGCCACTTAATTTGTTTAATTTCAATTTCGTTTGGGATTATTATTATTAATTTGAATTTCATTTGAATTTGTTTTGTTAATTAAATTGTATATTATTTACAAAACTATTATTCGATAAACCCATCATTCTTAATATAAATTCACAACAAAAATGAATACATACAGTGACGGAACCAACTTTGGAATGTCGGGGGCAAATACCTGTCAAAATTTTTAATAGTCAATAAATAATAAATAAATTATTAAAACCGAAATAATAAAATAATTTTACTTTCAACAAAAGTTAATGCCATAAACTAGAAGTATTAAGAGGGCAGTTTATGTCTTCAATGTCCCATACTCTGAAATCGCTTCATAATAGTATCGCTTTCAATTTTCACAAGAACTTCTTTCTCAATATAACATATCAAACAATCTTTAAAAAATTCGTCTCCTATCTTGTTGCGCAAGTCATTCTTAATAAATTTCATAGTGGAGAATGATCTTTCAACTTAGCTGTCGTAACGGGTAAAATCAATGCCAACTCAATAAGATGAAATCAATAAAATCAATGCCAACTTAATAAGTCGATACACTAACCTATAAGTTGTGTGTCATTCTATAGCCACCATATTTTTTGCCAAATCTCCAATATTTTTCAATCCTAGAAAAGGTGAAGATGATTTAACAAATTTAGTGAACTTCTTCCAATTCACATTTTTCCCTTGAATTGAAATCATCCGGATATAATCAGTAAGATGAAGTAGTCGCTTTTGATCAAAATTTGAAAATGAGTCTTTAGGGCTTAAGCATGCTATGCACACATAAGCAACTTTGAACTTAACTTTGAAAGCGATTATTCATCTCTTAAATAAGACGATAATAACCTATAATTATAAAAATTAAACCAATGATTCATAAGAATATGTATATATATGTTAATATCAAACAAAGCAGAAAAATATACTTCCAAAAATATATCAACATAAAAATAGTGATGATAGGTCTTTTGATGACCATCAACCGTCTTCCCTTTTTTTATTCGACCCTGCTGAACATTTTTCATATTAGGCACACCAATATTATGTTTCGAACATAATTTAGTGACTTTTTCAAGCAACTCCTCCCAACCATAATTATTCCTATAATTATTCAAGTCATTCTTCACACCTTCAACAAGAACTAAAATATTCCCTATGTTTTGATTCTTTTGTTGACAATTCTTTGATAAGATATTTGATTTTGACAACAATTGCATCATTAAATGAGCAATGAATACAAAATCAAATGTTACCATTTTCTCAACCAAACTCAAAGCAGTTGATTTACTTTTGAAATCAACTCCATCACCGAATATAACTTCAAGCACCTCAATCACTGCATCCCACGTATCTAAAACTCTTGAAATTGTTTTCAAATGAGAACCCCAACGAGTATCACCAAGTCGAACTAGAGTTTTTTCTTGATTTTTTCCCTTTCCAGTGCTAATATCACCACATTTTATACCCTCAACAAGATTTTCGTAGTGTCTTTGTAAAATATCGTCTTTTCTTTTACATGATGCCCCAACTACATTCACAATCATCATAAGATAATCGAAAAAACTACCGACTATTCCATTATTTTAAAGATGTCACAATCATTAATTAAAATTGGTGAGCAAAACAATGAACATAGTGTGCTTGCTTATTTTCATCCAAAATGTTTTGCTTTAAACCATTAATCCCACCACTCATATTAGAGGCTCCATCATAACTTTGAGCTTGAACCTTAGACAACGAAAGCGTATGCTTTGCAAGAAAATCATCAATCGCATTTTTCAATAACTGTGTAGAAATATCAGTGACATGCATCATTCCAAGAAAGCTCTCTATCACCTCTCCACGATCATTAACAAATCTCAAAACTATAGACATTTGCTCTTTTATTGTACTATCTCGAGCTTCATCAATCAAAAGCGAAACATATTTGCTACAATCTCATTAACAATAGCTTGTCTTATCTCGATTGCACAAGCATTAGTAATTTCCTTTTGGATTTTAGGAGAGGTTAATTGACTATGTTCCGTAGCATTTGAGTTCATTAATGCATTTATTTGCGGATGCCGATGACATTTCCATTTCAAAAGCTCAATAAAATTGCCTACAAATACGATAAATATTATAAATAATAATGTAAAAAATAATGTTAATAATGTAAATAAAATAATAATTAATTACCTGGATGCAATGAACTAGCTTATTTATTGGATCCTTGAAAAGCCAAAGCTCCTTCTAAAAGAAACCTAACCACGTCCGCTATTGTTGCTAATCTATCTGGATAATCAATCTCATCTTGTTTACTTTGATGTGAGAGCATATATAATCAATATTTTGCCCTTGAATTTTAAACCCAACATATAGTATTTTTGCATAACGATGCATACTGCCTTGACCTCTTTCGTGTTCACGAAATTTCTCTTTAGCTTTTTTCCAATTCTTAAAACCAATTTATGTAAATACATTGTCTCCAAATTTACCACCATTTCCAAACAAGTAACACACTTGGTAAAATGCTGCATCTTTAGCGACACTATATTCCAACCAATGAAATTCTTCGAACCACTGCTTTCGGAATGATCTCATTAACCCATCAAAGTTAGTTTGTGGATAAATAAATTCATGTGGTTGGCAAGGGCCTTTTGTCAAATAACGCTTTCTTAATTCTTCTCATATATTAACCGGATAACTCTCAATTGATTTTCAAAATCCAAGATCCCCAATTATGTCATCATTGGATAATTCAACTCCTACTGAAAGTTTAATTTTGTCTTCAACATTACCGACCACATTATCAACTGGAGCACTTAAAGCATTTGATGGAGAAGACGTAGTCTTCGATTTTTTAAAAATTGGTATGAAAAATCGTTCCATAACAATTATTTTTTGTTCTAATAACCTGCACTTAAAATATAATAATTTCAAACATTAAAATAATAAAACAGAAATACAACAAATAAATAAATATATGCAACAATGGAAAATAATTAAGTCTACTTCAAGAAATAAAAGAATTAGATCTACGGAAATAAAATAAAATCTATTTTTTTAAACAAATAGTAAATTTAAAAAATAATCCAAATCATAATACTGACTTCGATCACTTCAATTTTGAAATAAAATCTGCACTTGTAAATTCTAATAGCATGATTTGTCAAATGATAAAAAATTTTAAAATATAACCTTATGTTCTTCTTTTCAATCCGAGTATCCAACCATGTTTTCTTCAATTTCTCTTAATGTAACAAGCCAACATCTGATAGATGAAGAAAGAAAAAAAATAAAAAAGAATGACTGTGTTGAAATAGAAGAAAAAGAAAGAAAACAAAAAAGAATGACCGTGTTAAAATAGAATAAGAAGAAGAAAATAAAAAAGAACCAACTGTGTTGAAATAGAAGAAGAAGAATGAAAATTAGAGATTAGGAAAAAGAAAGTCTTGGCCGTGCAAACCAAGTCCCATGTTGGAAGATGTGAAGAAAAATTGACACCTTATAAATCCCACATAAACTCCACTAGTATGAGGCTTTTTGAAAGAAATTCAAAAACAAATATGTGGGACTCAACCCAAAGCTAACAATATCATGAGTTGCCTTTCCCAACAGAAAGAAAGAGAAGTGCAGATGGATAAATGTGTGTTAAATTAGATTTAAAAATAATTTTTTGTTTTATATGTAAAAAATAAAAATAAAAATTTGGGTATATATGTATATGTGTGAAGAAGGAGCTGAACGGCAGCAGCCATTCTCCAGCTGTGAGAGAGAGAATATTTGCAGGTTTGGTTTTCTTCTTAAGTAATTCATCTTCATTTCATGTTCATTGTGCTCATATATTATTCTTGGTCTTCAGATTTCTCACATATATCAATGGAGTCGGAGTTGGAGTTGGTCTCCACCCATCTCTGTTGCCTTTTATTTCTTCTCCTCATCATCTCAATCTCACCAGGTCACTCACCCCATCCACATTATTATTATTATTTTTTACTATTATTAATCAATTAATAATGCACGCAAATTTGCAGGGTATCTGGAGGCCTCATCATCGTCATCATCATCTCCAAAGCTATTGTTCGTATTCGGAGACTCCTACGCCGACACCGGAAACCTCAGAAAATCGCTCGGAAACTCCTGGAAGGACCCGTACGGAACCACCTTCCCCGGAAAGCCCGCCGGCCGCTTCTCCGACGGCCGCGTCCTCTCCGATTACCTCGGTAATTATATTTAATTTAATTAAACTGCATATATATATATATATATATGTACGTACCTTTTGCCTTCCTTTAATTTTTGCCACCTTTTCTTTTTCTGCCTTTTGTTCTTTCACTTTAATTTGTTGAACTTCGAAATCTGCATTATTGGATTCCTCCTTTTATGCCTTATTATTATATTTCTTAATTAATTAATTTCCAGCCTGTAAATCTCCATTTCGATCCATGGAGAAGATGATCTGCCTGCTCAGCTCTCATGTGCTCGGCCTCCATTTTCATCTTCCTTACAATGTCGACAGCATATAAATAAAAATATACATTCAGTGTTGATAAAGAAAAATTTGAATGGTACTAATTTTGTCATTGTATATCATAAAAAAATAAACTCATTTGTTTGGAAAATTGTTTGTATTTTTTGGTTTTTATAATAAAAAATAGTAAAAATTCTTTTTTGCTGAAAAAATAGAAACAAATCTAATTTTTTAAGATAAACAAATAAAAATAATGAACATAATTTTTTTTTTTTTTTAACTTTTTATGATAGAGAGTATAAGAGTACATATGATATAACGAATAAAAATTGTAAAAAAATAAATAAATAAAAATTAGAAGAGAATTCAGAATTGATTTTTCTCTAAAAAGAATTATCTTAAGAAATATAACATAGAGTCATCAACGAGGACAAAATGATTCATAATAAAATAGTGGATCAAATAAAAAAACAATTAACAAATAAATATTGATATATTTAGTTAATAATTATTTTATTTTATTTTAGTAATTTTGATTTTGATTTTTTTTTCATTTAAATAGTTATTTAAATACAATATTTTTTAAAATGAAATAATATTTTCTATTATAAAAAATTATAAAATTTAAATAATAAAAAAAAACTAAAACAAACATAATTTATTTTAATAAAAGTTAAATAATAAAAAGTAAGAAAATTTTAAAATCACTTACTCTTAGGAAACAAAAAATAAAAAATAAAAAATTGATATTAAACTAAACATCAAATTCAAATTCAAAATTTGATATATAAATCAAAACTTAAATTATAACAATGATTAAGATGACTAAATAATTTAATTAAAATAAAAAAATTATAAATTATGAATTTTAAAATATGATTAAAATGTATAATTGTATTAAAAAAGAAAAGAAAATAACAAATTACGAAATAGAAAGACTAGACAAATTTAATTAAGTGGGAGGAACATACAACTGATTAGTTTGCTGTTTTCAGTTTGATATTAATTCCTTAATAATTAATTCATCTCAAAATATTTATTTATTCATATATTTTCACACAATATACTAATTTCAGATATTGGGTAAAGAATCTCCAATATTATCTGTGCCGTGCGTTTTTATTTTCACACTATTCAATTTAACGCGAATTGCACGCTAACTAACCACAGCCAAGTTCTTGGGGCTCAGCTCCCCCTTCCCCTACACATGGATGAAGCTCGCCGGCGACGGCAAGAAGCTTCGCGCGGGAATGAACTTCGCATACGGAGGAAGCGGCGTGTTCGACACTTACGCCAAATTACCTAACATGACTACTCAAATCGACTTCTTCGATAATCTCATCGCTACCTCTTTCTACACCAAACACGACGTCTACTCCTCTCTCGTTCTCGTTTGCCTCTCAGGGAATGACTACGGCGCTTTCATCGCCAAAGGCGGCGCTGTCGAGGTAACCTAGCAGAATCTACTTTCAAATGCTTCGTATACACGAGTTTTTGTCCTTTTCTTATGTTGTTTTGTTCTTAGGACATTGAAAAGTTCATTCCTTTGGTGATCGATCAACTAGTAGCGAACTTGAAGCGTATATCCCGCCTCGGAGCATCCAAAGTTGTCGTGACGACTCTGCAGCCAATGGGTTGTCTCCCACGTACGACTCGACGGTCTTCCTACCAAAAATGCAACACCACTGAGAACATGGCCACCAGTTACCACAACCTTCTGCTGCAGCAAGCCGTGGCCGGATTGAATAACATTTCAAAAAGCCCCTCTTTTTTCGTCATGGATCTTTATAGATCTTTCACGGCCGTGCTCGATCCAAATCAAGACTCTCCAGGTAACATTAGGATTGATTACACAATTTCCCTTGAGGTTACCAACAATAAACATATTATGCTATTTAGGGTGTCCTCGTATAATAAATAAATTTTCTCGTTTAATTAAACAATATGACGCTGTAGTCACTACAAAAAAAAAATTGAGATTTAGCTAAAAAAAATTGTTAGCAAAATATGTACGATTTTCTTAGCATAATAATTTTAGCTTTAAAATCCATAATAATTTTAGCTATAAAAATATGATTTTATAGCTAAAACCTGTAAAAATAGGATTTTCTAGTAAAATAACTTTAACGACAAAATTAATTTTATAGTATAAAATTTATTTTTAGGGACAATTATTTTTTGTAGATAGAATGACACGTTTTAACTACGAAAAAATATCCCTTTCAACATATTTTTTTTTTTTTTTTTTTTATATGTGGGCTTTTATAATACAAACAAGGATATTTAACTCTCTCTACACTTATACTTATTACCCATGACAAACAGTAAATGTGTGTATGAATAATAGGATAATAATACGATACTCGTTGACAACACTTTTTTTTGCGCAATAACAAGTTGTGTGTCTTTTATATGAAACAGGGGATTCGAAATTCCAGAGTCTATTAAAGCCCTGTTGCATTGGCGTAAACGACGAGCATTCGTGTGGGAGTGTGGACGACAATGGCAAGAAATTGTACACGGTTTGTAGCGATCCGAGATCGGCTTTCTTCTGGGACGAAGTGCATCCAACTGAGGCCGGATGGCGTGCAGTCTACACGATGTTGCGATCCAGTCTCGGCGAGTTCGTTAAATCTTCTTAGCATTATGTCCGATGTTTGCCCTATTTCTGCCTCAAGTGGATTACTAGGACTTTGTTTACATATGTTTTTAAATTATTGTTTTGCTGCTTATTAATCACTCCTTCCGTCAATGATAAATATGTTCATATGAGTTAGACGTAAGTTTTAATTAATATAGTATTATATTTATTGATTGCGACAGAAACTATGAATATTTTAAAAAATGTGTGGGCGAGATAATGAAGCAAGATAAAATATTTGATAAATTGAATGTAAATGGTTATGACATATTGGTAAATAAATATAATGTTGAATGATATAAATTAAGGTGTATGTAAAAATTATTTTTTATAAATAAAAATTATATATTTTTTTCGTAGAGAAACAAAAAAAAGATAACACATATATAGATTTGGTGGACGAATGAAGTATTATATTTGAATATGTGACAAAATATTACTCTATCCGTCCATTAAGGTATCTATTTATTTTTTTGGTCATTACACGTAATATTAAATATATTTCTATATTTGTATAATATTTTATACAAATGTCATTATATTTGTATTATATAACACTATTAAAGGTATTTTTATTTTTTTTTCACTTGATTTGTATTTCCTACTACCTATGGATATAATATTAAAATCAAACTTCTACATTTAGAAAGCAAATGGATGTCTACATGGATGTCTACTTAAGGACAAAGGAAGTATATTAAAATGTCACATTTAATAGGAAAAATTGTTCATAACTTTATTGTGGTTTTGAAATTTAGCATAAAATTTTACTGTATTTTAAAAATTGCATAGCACTTCCTTAGATTTTAAAAAAACATTTCATGAAATCCCACCATTATGAAACTTCCTTTGTGTGATGACAAAATAATTTTCTATCTATATATTTTTACGCAACATTTTTAAAGCATAATAGGACGCCATGAAATTTTTAAAATAAAAGTGGAGATTTACAGTGAGTTTCAAAACTACAACGGGGTCCTGCAATATTTTTTAAAATATTAGGAGACGCCACACGGTTTTTAAAGTAAAAGAGAATTTACGCTGAGTTTTGAAATCATAAGTAAATTTTTGCCCATTTAATATTTATTTATATCAAATTTAATGTCTATTTTTATTTAAATATTTTATTATTTCTAAAATTTTAAAACACTTTCTAAATATATTTATGATATTGATTTGAATTCTTAAATATTCATACACCTGAGGAGACGGTGAATTAATAAAATAGGAAATTGATGCGTTGATGTTTCTTACATTACATTTAGGGGCGTTTGGTACATAAAATAAAATTAGAAGAAAAAGAATTTAATAGAGAATGATAATTTATTTTCTTATCTGGTAAAATATAGAATGATAATTCATTTGAGAAATATATATTAAAATAATGTTGTTATTTGGATGAATCAATCAAAAATAAATGATTAATTAGACAAAAAAAATATTTTAACGAGTGCGAGAATTTATGAAAAAATATTTTTTGTAACTTTTTTGTTTACATTATAAATTATATGCGATATTTTATAAGATCAGATTTAGTATAATATTTTTCAAAATCATAAAAATTAAAAATATTTGAATAATAAATTAAATTTGATTTTTGTGAAATTAAAATAATATAATTTTAAAGATTATAAAAATTAAATAGTTCAAAAAAACTAAAATAAAAATAAATACAAGGTGAATGTGCAAAGCGTGTGTATGTTTTATTTGGAATAGAAAAACGATTAATATTCAATTCGTATGTCTCAATAAAAGTAAATTAGTTTTTCTCATAAAATATAATATTAAAATATTATTTAAATAAAAAATCAAATATATATTCTATTTTAAATTAATTTCAAACTACAATCTTACAATCTTTCATTTACTTTAATTTTTTTATGAGTAATTTTCTTTTAATGCATAAGACTTCTTCGACTTTTTTTAACTAAGCTGGGGCCGAATGGACTATTTATTTGTTGTCCATTATATCATCCCTAATTTAAATAGTGACTCATTCAATATTTAGTTATTAATTTTTAAATTATATTTCAAATTTAATTAAAACAGATGATTGATTTAAAATTTATTCTACCAACAACACTACTAAAGGGAAGAAAATTATCAATAAGCGAAGGTAAGTGAGGGAATGTTGTATGGTTTGATAATGCAAAACAGAGATACATGACGCGGGCAAATTAGTAATATGCCATGGCCAATGGGTAAAGTAATCACGAGTTGTGAGACGATAAGCGAACATGTATAGGCAAAGATATGCCGTTGTATAGAGTCAATGGATATACCTAATAGCAATGTGAGGCGATATACTTATATATGAAACGGTGTGGGAAAATATCAGGAACTTTCTCATTTGTGGCCAATGAGTATGACGTGCTTCGAATTTTGAATGACTCGAAGAATTAAATTAATCGAGCTTATATGTATAAGTGAGTATTGTTGGACATGCTAGTACTTGACCTAAATATCATCATGTGCAGTGACGGAATCAACCTCCAAACATTGGGGGACGGGACTATTTAGTCAATCGATTTTTTATAGTTTGGTTTTAGTTTTAAAATTTTAGAACTTTCATTTTTCAATTTGAACCAACAATTTAAATAATAAAAAAGTAAAAGTTATAGAAACATAGAAACAAAATAAAATTTTATACTTAAAAAATAAAAATTCCTTTGAAACTTGGGGCAATTTATTTAAATTGTATAAAAAAGCAATATTTTATACTAAAAAATAATAACAAAATTGGGAAGCTTGGGGACAGGTGACCTCACCCTTAGTAGATTCGTCCGTGTTCATGTGGATCTCGAATCCATAACTTAAAACATTATTAGCTATGGAAGCCTTTGTTACAGGACATCATTATCATCTAGAATATTCAATGTTTACCATTGAACTAATTATACCTAGTCACTTCTCTTATTTGACTATCCATTTATTGTCTCTTTTAATTATAGTTGAATTATGTTTACTAGTTTGATGTGTTTGTCATACGCCACTATTGTTCATGACTCAATGTTAAAAATAAGTGTTTGGAATTAACACTTTTGGGCCATATGTGTGATTTATTGGGCCTGGCCCAATAAGAGTATATATATATATATATCCTTAGCCCTCTAGGGCACATACATATCATAACCATCTTCATCCTCACTTACTCGTGGTCATCTCTGCTCTAATTCACACATGATCTTCATCTCTATCATTCTTCATACACTCTCATCCACACACAGAGCACTATCCATCCATCGTTCCTCACTTCTAACACTTACACTTTCATCACATGTGCACGATTTGCACGCAGTTACTTGAATCACTTCACTACACATTCATATTTCGTTTGTACTTCAATCGATTTCCGCATTGATTTTCCTTCATCTCACTTTTGCTAATACATCATTTACATTTGGTTGTTTGGCTCTTCTATCATTTCTCTTCCCTCCGCAGGTGACTAAATTGATTTGGTGAGGCTATGTGATCTGCTTTGAAGTTCCGGTGTACGAAGCTCTTGAAAAGCAACTACTGTGAAACTTTGATTTTGGATCTGTTCAAATCTGGTTGTACCTCTTTATATGTTTTTTCTATTTGTTAGTTGTATGGTTGTTGATGGACTGGTTGAAGTGTTCCTCTGAGAACACAGTTGCTTTTCCGTTGATTCATGTGATGATCTGTTGATCTATGGTCCTTTGTGACCTTGACGAATACTCTATTGTTTTTTGTCGTTTCTGTACACATGTGTGACTGAATAATAATTGTGATTGGAGTGTAGGTGTTCCTCACTCTTGATGATAAGATTTGTATGCTAGATTTCTTAATTTTTCGTAACATGGTATCAGAGCAGTCTAATACCCCCCCCCCCCTTTTTTTTTGTCTTTGTAGGTACTGCTTTCACTTAATGTTAACCATTGTGATCTCTGAAGGATTTCTGTAAGTGCTCTCTGATCTCTTTATCTACTCAGCTGATACCAAGTGTACATGTAACTGGCTTGTCTCTATAAGAGATCCAGTAGCTAACCACTGTAACTGGTACGTGTTGATTTGCTCTTCCTCTCTTCATCATGGATGAAAGTAGTGCTCAGACTTTAGGTTTGCTTAATAATCCCTTTTTGGTGAGTTCGAGTTACTTTGATCCTCTTTATCTTCATGCTTCATACTCATCTAACACCTCTTTGGTTTCATGTGTCCTCATTGGTTGTGAGAATTACATAATTTGGGATAGAGCGATGACTATAACCTTATTAGGTAAAAATAAGCTTGACTTTATGGAAGGTAATGTGTCTGTGCTAGCTGAACCTGAATTGTTTAAGAATGGAGCATGTGTAATGCCATGATTATGTCATGGATACTAAACTCTGTGGACAAATCCATATATAGAACTCTTGTGTTCCATACCAAAGCTTATGATATGTGGACTGAAATTTAAAAAACGTATGGAAAGAGTAATGTTGCCAATATATATGCTCTTTTGAAAGAACTTGGTAGTTGTGTTCAAGGAAATGATAGTGTCAGTACTTACTATTCAAATTTGAGAGTGCTGTGGGATCATGTAGCAACTGTTTAAGGCTGTAGACATGTGTATCTGTACTGCGAAGACTTCTTTAGATAAATATGAACAAATTCAACAGCGGGTACAATTTCTAATGGGCTTAAATGATAAATATTCTGTTGTTAGGAGCACAATACTAGCTATGGACCCCTCCCCCTCTGTGCTGATGCCTTTAATCTTGTTTCACAAGAAGAATCACATAAGAAAATTTGTGCAGTTACAGAAGCACCTAAAACCACAGGTACCTTTGTGGCTAAGAAGGCAATTAGGTCAAATGTTAAAAATCCAAACCTAAACTGCTCTCACTGTGGTCGATTAGGTCATTTAGTCGAGAGATGCCATAAGTTGATAGGCTATCCTGATAGAAAACAAACTTTTAGACAAAATAAACCTATGATTTATACTGCAAATACTTCATTTGTTTAATCTCTAACTCTAGCTATTTGTGATCAATTGATTAGGTTACTACATGAAAAAAAAAGGGAGAAGACAACTTACAGCTCAACATGGCAGGTATGTCTTCAACTTTCTCTTGTAATTCCTCTAGGTGTTGTGAGTGGGTTCTAGACTCAGGAGCTATTGATCATACGGTAGCTTATAGA